AACGGGCTAGTCTGTGTACGGGATCCAAGACAATAATATCCTGATGATCCTGATAGATCCTAAGAAACCATTCATACGTTTGGTCCTTATGCACAGGGCCAGATTTTAGAGGGAGGAACCTACGGAGCAAAAGTATGTATTTTAAATTACTGTGAAATAAGAAGTAGGTCTCTTGTCCGTGGAACATTCTAGGGTTGCGGATGGTTGGTCGGTGTATTAAAATGGTGTTGGCTGTTGCCAGGAGAGTAATTCTTTGCTTAAGGTCCCGTTAGATTTATGACCAATATTATTGTTCACCCTTACCCAGCCTCCTATCCAATGAGTAGATTTCCTCTGGGGTAAAGCTGCCGGGGCATGAAGTTGACCAGTCACCTCCATCTAGTGCATCTAGTGATAAGTTCAAGAATGGTATAGCTGGTCGAGCCATTCCTCGACTCTCCGGCATATCTTCATGGCATAATGCATAATTAATTTAGAATACCAACTCTTATCATTTTAGGTTTACTGCAAATATAAATAGTGTTCAAAAATCGCTTTGATTTCGATATCTAAAACGCTTACGAACAATTAATCATCTTTGTTTAAGTAATAGGTAGATAGCGGTAGGCGCGTTAGGTAGCGAGCAGTAGCGGTAGTGAGCGTAGTGAGCCTAGTGAGCGGTAATGTGGAGCATGTGGATCGTGAGGAGTGAGGAGCGGCTAGGAGGTGAGGAGTTTCTGTGGTGAGAAACGAGAGTTGTCATGTACAGAACTAGTGTAAGTTATGTAGAACCATTTTAAGCAGCATTAGAGATGATGTCTAGAATTACTGTTTATAAATATGTTTAAGCTTAAGTGTGTGGACTTGAAGTTATAGTGGTATATGTTGCTTCGTATGGTATTTTAGTATATATTTGAGGTTAGGCTGTGTACATTTTTGTTATCTCTGCAATTCGGCCGGAATTGCAGCACATTTGTTTATCAAACATCATTCTCCTTAAGTTAAGTCCATGTGTGGACGAAATGATTGGGGATCGTAAGTGTGGGTTTTGTCGCACTAAATCAACTTATCGGGTTTTTTTTTTGCATTCGTCGGCTACCTGAGAGAAAGTGGGAATGCAGTGAGACAGTACAGCAACTGTTCATATATAGTTCAAGAAAATATGATTCACGGTGTGATGAAACTAGTAAGGCTTATTAAAATGTGTTGAAATTAAATGTATAATTATGTCTGTATAGATAAACATTTGTCTGATGTTTGATCTATCAGAATGGTCTGAAACAAGGAGATGTTTATTGCCTTTGGGAGAAATGTGTACAAGGTTTTGGTGGGAAAGTCAGAAGGAAAGAGACTAGGAGGGAGTGTAGTATTAAGATGGATCATAGAAAAATATGATGTGGTACCGATTGAATTCATCTGGCTCAGGATAGGGACTGGTGGTGGGCTCTTATGAACATAGTAATGAACCTTCAAGTTCCATAAGGTGGTGGGTAAGTCTTGAGTAGATGGGCCACTGTTGGCTTCTCATGAAGGACTTGTCTCCATGGAGTCAGTTTTACGTGTGTATATGTGCTGTTTGGCATCTTGCGTTGCAAAGGTTAGGAAGATGGTTAGAGTGTTGCACTGAGAAGATCTCAGCCACCAACTAATAAGCCAACTTGCTGCATCCAACAGACCATCAAGTATTTTTGTTGGACCATGTATGTTGTGTGCTGCGGAATGACGAGCTGCACACAGTGTGCAACATTAAATTTATTACTTTATATTAAGATTAGTTTTGGAGCTATTGTAGTCATTTTGGTGTAAGTTTAGAATCAAAGGAATGGAATTTTGATGCATGTAAAGCAAATCCTGCATTCTGTCACTCTGCTTTGCCAAAATATATGATGTTTCATGGAAACAGTTTCACAAACTGAGACTGGGTGAGCTGCAGGTAGCCAGTTAAAATGCTTCTATCTGTTAGCTGTTTCATGTAACTAATACAGAGATTACTGGCTGTCATTGGCTATAAAACTCGATTCAACTTCTGTAGTGGTTGTATTCAGTGGCTTCAATAGGAGCAAGTGCACAATGTATGATTGTGCTTCCATCTCACAGCTGTTATGACAATGCTTACTGCCGATATTACTGTGAATAGTTCCCTCATTTATTACCCTTTGTATGCTTATTAGGGTAATTCAGAACTAAGGGTCCGTATTTCGTTATGTAATTATTTATTACCCTTTGTATGCTTATTAGGGTAATTCAGAACTAAGGGTCCGTATTTCGTTATGTAAGTAAAGTAACACTATACAGAGTAAATCATGTGGCTGAGCCATGATCTGTATTAACTTCACTTCTCCACATAGTGATCAAGTCTGTGTAGACACTTATAGTAATACATCAATTTGTTACGTTCTTCATAGAAAAAAAATGCACACTGGGCACATAACCATTTATTGACTTTATTTTGAACATCTTCACTGGAGTGGAAGCACTTACGTCTGAGGTGCTGTCTCATCTTTGAGAAGAGGTGTAATTCTGATGGTGCCAAATCAGGAAGAATTTACCAGCTCCAGGAGTTCAAGAGATGCACAGTCATGGCAGCACTGACAAATCCAGGATTGTCATGCAAAAGAACTGCTCTGGTCAATCCTAGTCTCTTGCACCAAAATGCCTCCTTGAGTCTCTTTAGAGTTTCCTGACAAGCAGCTTCATTTATTGTTGAATTTGGAAGTGTGAAATCAATCATAAGATCTCTGTGAATATCCCAGAAATCAGTAGCCTTCACTTTCCATTGTGCCATCCCTGATGCTCCTTCAGTGTTACGAGGAGTGTGGTGAAGGATTCTTAAGCAGAACTGTTACAGGAGATGAGACCTGGGTCTCCCACTGCCCCTCAGACCTGGAAGCATCCTCATTCTCCAGTCAAAAATTGAGGATAGTGCTGTATCCTGGGAAAGTGATGGCCAGTGTTTTCGGAGATGTTCACAGGGTTCTTATTGTCGATTTCACACCACCCAGTTCAACAGTAAATGAATCTGCTTGTCAGGAAGCTCTAAAGAGACTCCAGGAGGCTATTCAGTGCAAGAGACCAGGACTGTTGTCCAAAGGCATTCTTTTGCTTGACAGTGCTGGACTTCACGGTGTTGCCACAACTGTGAATCTCTTGAAGTACTGGGGTTGAGAAATTCTTCCACATCCACCATACAGTCCTGATTTGGCACCATCAGACTTCCTCCTCTTCCCAAATATGAGAATGCACCTCAGAGATCAGCGTTTCCACTCCCATGAGATGTTCAGAATTAAGTCAAAAAATGGTTCTTTGCTCAGAAGACATTTCTTTTCTCTTTGAAGGACATAACAAATTAATGTATCACTAAGTGGCCTCCGTAGTCTAGAGGTAACGTTCCCACCTCATGACTCGTGGTACGCGGGTTCAAACCCAGCGGAGGTCGTGGAATTTTTAAGGGCGGAAAAATTCAGGGAACAAGTCCTCCAGGAGGGACTTTAAGCCGTGGGTTCCATGTCGTAGCTTTACGGCATGTAAAAGAACCTCATATCTCAAAAGGAGGTCACTGAACCAAATTCAAGGACGTTTCCCGCCCAACAGTAGTCTCTAATGCCTCTGATAGATGGGGGAAGCATTATAGATACCGCCAAGCAAGTAGAGGCTGAACTCGCTTGCTCGGTCGGGACTGATGGTACGCACCAATATCGGTAGGGTATAGAGACTGGTAGAATGTCATAGAGGGAAGCACAATAGATCAAACTGGTCGCGGTGCATGGGGAAACCCACCCTCTCCAATTACTAACTAACTAATGTATCACTATTATAAAAGTCTAAACAGACTTGGCCACTATATGGAGAAGTAAAGCTAATATGAGACCATATCTTAGCCTCATGAGTTGCTTTTTGTATTGTTATTTTACTTAAATAAAATACAGGGACCCTTACTATTTTAATTACCCTTGTATATATGTGTCTGTGAATTCACAGCACTCTAATGTGCAGTGTGCCGATGCATAAGAATTTTAGTATGCAGCCATGGTGTCAAGTAGCAAGAAATGTTTGAATCCTAGTGATATTTCTGGAATTTAGGAAGCAATGAATTAGTAAGTATTGGCAACCTATGGTGGTAGAAGAAATGTATATTGTCCTGGCACATTTCTTGCTTATGGGAATTCTACAGAAGTCCAGTCTGAGATTGAACTTGTCATGAAATTGGCCTGTAGCAATGTCCACTTTTGGTTCTGTCATTTCCGAAGGCAGTTGAAAGCATCTGCAGATTTCTGCATTTCATAGAATATTTCATTGAATATTTGGAAGACCACAAAAATTGTTCCTATCTATCCTATCATAACCCATATAGATTCAAAATTCCAGACTTTTTGCCTACCAGAACAAGAAATTTCCAGTGATGAGTCATGTCTTGTTGAAGGTCCGTCTGTCAAACAGTACTGTCTGTCGAAATCACAGTTCAGAAAATACTAAGAAATACAATGTAGACAGAGAAACATCTCAAGGGAAGATTACATGACAACAGATCTAATCACATATATACTTACACTGTTAATAATTCCTCAGTTCTTCTTTAAATATGAGTATGAGTATGAAGGGTGAGCCATAGAAACTGTCCCTCTCACTATGACCTTCAGTGATCTGTTGTGCTTCCCCTTTGGATTAACCCTCTATTAATCCTACACTTAGAATGAAATGTAGGACTTTATTTTTGGGGGCGTCATTAAAGTCTCTTGGTTCCATGAAGAATTGACCCAGGTGGCGATAAGCTACAGCCTCACAGTCACATTAGATGTGTGTGGCTGATTCATCTTGTAGGCACTTTTCTGTCAGCCCCAGTTTGAAAAGGTGCCCTTTCAGGTGGCAGTGTCCAGTAAGTAATCCTACCACCCATCTTAATTGATCTCTGTTTAATTGTAACAGGTCCCTCGTTCTTTTGGCAGAGGGTCCTGGTATAAATCCTTTTGCCTGTTTGAGTCCAGTTGTGGATTTCCAGTGTTTTTTTGTGATTTCTGTTAGTCCAGTCCCTGGACGCTTTCTTGGCAACTCCAATTGAGATGCCTCAAGCTGGTTCAGGTCCTATGAATGGTTGTTCAGATCCTGTTCTTGCCAGCTGATCTGCGGTTTTATTCCCAGCAGTACCCTCCTGGCCTGGCACCCATATCAGCTTAACTCTGTTATGCCTGGCCAGTTGTGTGGGGGATTGGTGGCAATCCCAAACCAATTTTGAAGTGATTTGATGTGTACCAAGTGCTTTGATTGCAGCTTGACTATCTAATAGAATATAGAAATTCCTATTTTTGTAGTTTCTATCTAAATTCTCAACTGCACATGCCTTAATGGTGTACACTTCTGCCTGTAATACTGTTGTATACTGACCAAGGCTGAAACTATGTTTCCTCGCTGTTCCATCACAATACACTCCAGCTCCAGTGCCTTTATTTGTCTTGGAACCATCTGTATACCAGATTAGTCCTCCCTTTCTATCGGGTTGAAACCCCTCTTTCCATTCACTTCTATCAGGAAATCTGATCGTGAAGGGTCTATCATAAACATGTTTTGGTATCATTTTATCAGATCCCATCTGTAGGATGGGTTCCTTTTTCATGTCCTGAATCATGTATGCATGTCCAGACCCTTCAGATTTAGGTCTTCATTGATCATTGCAATGTAATCTGTAATTTCCTAACTTGGCCTCTGCTTCCATCTGCAGATGCAAGGGGGGGAGTCCTAGTAGTATTTCCATTGCAGATTTTGGAGCTGTTCTCATTGCTCC